TTTTCTTTTTCTTTTTTTTNTTTTTTTTTTTTTTTTTTTTTTGAAGCTCGAAGAACTTACATCAGGATAGAAACTTACAGCTTGCAGAAAGTCGTAGTCATAGAGCCACTCCAGTCCCCCACCTGCTTTCCAATACTCGTACTTGGGGTTGTTCTTGTCCATCCTCTGCGCCATCTTCTTGTCCCGTCTCCTCTGTTCCGGTCCGTCGGGCATGACTTTGTACTGTCCAGTCAGCAGAGCCATAGCTTGGATGCGTTCCGCCCTAGGCTTCCTAATCCTCTCGTATGCCTTCAATGCTGCCGGAATATCAGAGACCAATTTCGCTTGGGATATACACTCAGCGAGCACGGCGCCATCTTCTACTGCGCTAGCTGCCCCAGCGCCAAGATGGGGAACTAAGGCATGAGCCGCATCGCCCAGGATAGCCACTTTACCACTCTCGCTGACCCAGGTTTCCAAAGGTGGTAAGTGTGCAATCTTCCAAATGAAGCAATCCTCGGGCTTCACCAAGCTGACGAATTTCCGGACTCGAGGCTCGAACATAGATACGCATTGCTGCATTGCTTCCACAGACCCCTTCCGGAACGAGCTGGTGGAGTTTGCAGCGAGAGTATCAAGAGATTGCACAGTCGGATCAGTTGATGATGGATAGAAGATGAGGGTCATCCGGTAATAGGAGCCGGAGCTGTCTGGGCCGCAAATCATTTGCCGGCCCGGCCCGTACCAACCTAACATTGCTGTCAGGGAAGAAAGTATCATGAGAGATGAGAGCAGGGTGTTCAATGTCGGGACAGAGACTTGGACAGAAACTCACTGTGAATGGCACCACCTTCCATAAGTTCCGCCGTCAGGGGATCATTCCTCATTGCCTTTCCACTTATGTTGCACTGATATGCGATGCTTTCTGGAATCGGTTGTACATCCATCCCAGCAAGGACTGATCTCCTCACAGTCGAATTTATACCTACCACAGTTAGAGTTTCTCTGAAACGGTGATTCTCAGCGCTTACCGTCTGCTCCAACAATCAGGTCTCCGCTGATTGTCTCTCCGTCCTCCAGAGTCACCGAAGGAACGCTCTCATCAATGCTCCTTATCCTACACGAGAGCCCCACCTCGACACCCATCTCAAGCGCTAGATCGTAAAGAAGTCTCTGGTATTTCGCTCTCGGTATTGCCATGACAGGATATCCAAACGCCGCCTCCATCGCGTCATAATTGACCTCCTCAAGCACACTCCCGTCTTCCCACCGGAACGTCGTGTTACCTCTCGGGACCGGCTCAGCATTCTTGAACGTCTCCCATATCCCATAAGCGTCTAACACACGAGCCGCGTTCGGCGGGATCATTAGGCTCCCGCCCAGCGTCTGAAGGACCGAGGTGCTTTCGAGGACCGCCACGTGGTGGCCTTTTCGCCGTAACCCGATCGCTGCGGCCAGGCCACCGACACCACCTCCGACGACAATTATGCCAAATGCTCGACCCTTTGTTTGCATCTTCATGGGCGCGGAATGAAGAGCGAATATGGTAAGTGATGAAATGATGGCTAGTAAAATGGTGGCTGGTGAAATGATGGCTGGTTAAATGAAGAGAAGGTTGACGATATGTTGAGGTACGAGTGAGAGTATTTATATGAACGAGAAACAACTTATATTTTTCAGCCGAGGCTTGACTTGGTGCAGTTCACACGGTATTGTTTAGAATATTATTCAAAAGGAAATCGGATTCGGTGCTCTTCTGGTCACGAAGTCTTTGGCTCAATTGAATACCGGTAAAACCTTAAGACAATAAGCTTTACGTATCACGTGTGTTATATGACAGCCCGGCACGTGTTCAGGGCTCTTCAAGTACGCGGAAACAGAATATTGCATCAGTCGTCGCCGAGAGCGTTTAATGTCAGTGGTGCCATGCAATATTTGCATGGGGTCCTCGCCTAAGTGACAATACAAAAGCGTTCCACGAAAACACTCTTATTCGTGACCTCCATGCCTCCATACTACCTGCATCCTAAATCCTCCCCTCCCATCGCAACTAAGAAGACCACATATTATAACGCACCCAATCACTCAAAGCCCCAAGGTTAGTATACAAGGTAGGCTTTCCCTTCAGCCCACACCCACCACCAGAATGCACCGTGCCCATTATCTCGAGCGTCTCCGGGTTCCAGATCGGTCCACCAGAGTCATTAGGACAGCTGCCTTTCCCTTCCTCTCCGCCCGCGCAAAGCTCTTTCTCAGTAGCCGAGTTATACAAGGCAAAACACTCGTCCCGCGAAACGATCGGGACGTTGACCCAGCTCAGCTGGGCCGAGCCCTGCTCAACCTGGCCTTCGACCGTGTTTCCCCAGCCGGCCGTCATGGCGCTCAGGTTCAGGGGCGGGTCGTAGCCTTGGGGAACGACTTTCGCATAGCCGATCGTGTCTGAAGGCTGAAGAGGGGTTGCAAGATGCCAGATTGCAATGCTGTACGCAGCAGGAAAACATCGTCTTAGTAGTATGTTCGTTGACGCATGGGAATACGAGAAAAACTTACTCGTTCTGGCCCACGACGGGCCTGTATTCTGGATGAATCCTGATCTCTGTAATATTTGAGACAGTGCCACCTGATTGCCAGCACTGGTCCAAATCAGTTTATGGCCCTTGGGGCTCCAGCGTTTAGTGTACGTACGACAGATCCAGCACGAACGGTGACGTTCTCAGCAGGGACGTTGATCGAGCAATGGGCTGCGGTAAGCACAGTATATGCATTGAGCAAGGTACCACCGCACCACTGTCGCTCCCCATTGAGGGTAGGGGCAACGAGGAAGGGAAATTCTCCTGGCTGGGCGAGATTGCCACCCGCAACCCGAGCATTGATCTTGCTGAGTCCAGCGGCTGCGAGAGTAGATGGCGCCAAGGCTATTGCTAGCGATAATGCTTGGTTGAACATCATGGCGAGTAGCAAAAGTTTCCCTGTTCGGTCGATGTGCTCGAGGAATATGAGTGCACTGATCGAAAGAGTCTCATCGGACGTTGAGAAAAGCAAAGGTCGACGACAACGGTAATCAGCAAGGCCGTATTAGGATTTGATTATTTATACGGCTTTATCTATATGGACCATACAGCTAACCCAACGAGGTATTCCCCACTCCGAACGGTGGCTGCGCTACAAGCACGGAGCCAGAAGATTCGGCCAAGGCCTGACTATACAAATTGGCAAGGGGAAAGCTTGTGAGCTAATCTTAAGCTAGACATACTAAGTACAGTAGTATGCCGCGGTACAACTTAATACTTAGCGGATGAAGACTTTATGCTGTAGCTAGGACTCGAAGGATAGCGTTGCCTGAGTACTTTCAGCGCCAAGCTCTCACTAAACTATTTGTACTCGTGACTCTTGACACGTGCTCGAGTACATTTCCCAGCCGAATATAATGTAATAGCCGCTCTTACTTATAATAACCATTAATGTTGATATTAGAAACGCTGAGTTCGATGACCTCGAAGATATTGAAAATACAATAAGGTACGTAGTACTACGTACTACGTACGTCCCAGGCGTAAGTACGTAGTA